AGATGAGATATTCTCGATAAGTTACCATTTGATTTTATCATTAGCTGCAGGGCGAGAACAAGTTTCACAATGAAATATATTCAAAAAATTACATTTGAATTGAATATTATATAGGGTTTTCCAACAGAGACTTCTCAACTTTGACAATTGATAACGGCCATCTTGTTGGAGCTACATTAGCTGTCAAATTAGTTGTCATTCATTCCATCTGTTTTGCCAAATTACCATGGACGAATATAGTGTAACGAATTAAAGAACTTGTCTTGAACAAATTTAATTTTACCAATATTTCACTATCACAACTGATTTATATACAACACTTAGCAACCAACCCTTAATTTATCTTCACAGTTCGAATTCTTTATTTTAACGCACGATTCACTTTCTAGATACAGACTGCTATCTTGGGACGGGAAGCCGGCTTTTAAATCGGCAAATAGCACTCCAGATCTTTCTAGTCGTTTCAGCATTCATCTATACATTTCGATGCGGTTTGTCGATTCCTTTCGCGATGAGTCATGTGTTTAATTGCTGGCTGAGATATCGGTCAGGGCCGGCTTCAGATGTTTTACAAAAGCATCCAACAACACGTGCATATAATGATATTGTTTTATCAAAATGGGTATCCTATTTGGACAACGTACCGCGCGCTTCGCCCATTTTACCGTCGCCATAATCGTCCTCCAGGGAGAACTATTCGCAATCTGGTGGACAAATTTGAGTACACAGGGGCAGTAAACGATCGATCAACACCCGTACATATGTGAGAGTCTGCAGCAGAATCCGAGGCAGTTGATTTTGCGTCGCTCACAAGAACTCGACATTTCGCAGACCAAAACTTGGTGGATTTTGCGTCGTGACTTAGGCCTGCACCCGTACAAAATTCAACTGACCCAGGAACTGAAGGTAAGCGACCATAGATTACGACGTGTGTCCCCTGGAACAGATGGCAACTGACCCTAATTTTCATCGAAAAATCATTTTCAGCGATGATGTCCATTTCTAAATGAAGGAGTTCATGAACAAACAAAATTGTCGAATTTAGGATCATACCAATCCACATGAGATCCCGAAATTTAATGTTTTCCAATGCGTTGGATCGGCAGAAGTGGAGTGGCCCGCTAGATCACCTGATCTTATACTGATGGACTTCTTTCTGTGCGACAGAGAATTGTTCGGGAATGCCTTTTGTTGACTCCGGACATCTTCAATAATGTACGGAACGCTTTCGAGAGTAGACTGTATTATTGCATGAAACTAGGTGGAGGTCATTTTGATATTATTTGTTGTTGATTTTCTCAATAAAATGAGCGACAGCGAATTTGTTTGTTTTTTCTTGAATAAAACGTTCAATATTAAATTTTTCAATAACGAATAAATCAATTTCCAAACCAATTACAGAAGTAATAGAGGGACAAAAGACCTTTCAAATAATGTATCACTCGACCCCCATGCGATTGAGAAAATAGGGGGGTAGTTGCTGACCGCAGGAGGGTGAAGTTTCCGGTATGATTTCCATATCAGAAATAGTGCCCCTAGAAATAAAAATTGATGCATTTTTTGAAGTTTTCGATTACATGTCCGTTTCTGACTCACAGGGAGGGTGAAGTTTTCGTTAGAACACCCTGTTTATGTATTATCACATACATGATTTATTTTTCATATATGTTTAAATAACAACAATGCGAAAAAAAATTTAATATGAGAAATCCAGAAAAATTACAAATCATTTGGGGGAACAATATTCAATACTTTATTAAATTTTTCTTGTTCCCCTTCTCCAAAGTTTTCATCTGTGAATGGTTTCAATAGTGGGCTCTTTATTATTGTTTTAGTTTTTTTTTCATGAAAACAACATTCGAAAATGTTGCTTTACTAGCTGCTGACTAATTTTGTTGGACTAATAACACAAAGATCACAGGAGAATGTAAACAATGCCTGTACAAGAGTCATTATCAAGACACTTTAATGGACGTGTTCCCTCTTTGAGAATTATACTCGGAATGGTAACTGAAATAATTGACAAAATATTTCAACGCAAAACCAATCAAAAATAAAATGTACTTTCCGCACTAGGCCAAAAAATACTACTTTCTCAAAGAAAGGGCGTCCAGGAAGTGGAAAGTTATTTTTTAATATCTACACATTGAAAATGTCACTTCTATGATCGATAAATGTCACTAAAAATGACGTTTAATGCTAATCGAAGGAAAAAAATCTCATGTTCTCGGTAATAAAGATAAGGAAAGTTTCATTAAAATTCTATGAGAAAATCATTGCACTGATTCCATCTCTCATTGCGGGATGGTTAATAAGTCACACATCAAAGGGAGCATTCTCGAAAACTCATGGTAGATTAAACGGAGTCCGGGAACAATATATTAGGATGAGAAATGTAGAATATACAAAGAGCACTGGCACACATCTAAATTTAAAATGTGACAAACGCCGATTTTTAAAATAGCAGCGATGATTCTCGCTAACAAAGCGTCCACCGACTCACATCTCATACCCATTAATAAATCACCAAAATACATCAATTTGAATGATGGACACACAGGCGTGCCTACGATAAACTCTCTGGAAGGTATGCCCCAGCTGTTGATTGATTATTTGTACTGTATGCTGGTAAAATATCGGTCAGACTTTTTCCAACAGATGCGATGTGTTATTTTTATATTTTTCTTGATGTATATTGAGGTAATCAATGATAATAATAACCTTTGTTTTGATGTCACTTACAAAATCTCAAACTTGAGGTGTATGGCGAATTCCCACACTTTGTTCTTCCACTCAACCAAAGATTTAAAATCATATTCGGTTTCAAAGAAACAAGAATTGAAAACCTCATGGCTGAGGCATCATTACGGTGTCATCACAAGCAAGCAACTTGGCGTGCCTTTTTTGTACTTGGCTCTCCTGGGACGCTTGAACTTTGCTTTCGATGTCATAACCATATATCCATGATTCGTCACCAAATATGACCCTTTTGAACAAATCTCCATCATGGTTGATGCCATTTAACGATTCCGGAGCGATGCTCAAGCGACGGTTATTTTGGTCAAAAAATGTCCTTTGTATACTTGTTTTCGTTTACTTTTAATGACGGAGAAGCAAGGTATACTTGAGTGCCGTCATTGTTAATTTGATGTTCACAAATTACATCTTTGAACGAAATGGTAACAAGAAAGGTGTATAGAAATGAACCGCGAATGAGTCCATCAGCAATTGAATATACCAATAGCCAGGACAATAGCCGGTTGACTATAACTTATTCAATCGACCGCTAGGTGGATCAACGAAAGATTTTCACTGCCTATCGTCGATCCCGAGCTAGGCATTGCACGTTAAAATATTAGATCTTGTTAATCCTTAGCTTGCACACACTTTTGAGGGTTGACGTTTATTGGGCAGGGTTTTCTCTATTGTTCATGAGTTCTTTTTTCCAACAATCAATTTTCGAAAGAGTAGATAATATATTATACTAATTGAGTAGAGATCTTTGTAACTTTTTGAATCTGATACCTTTTGCAATTGAGTAATAGGGGTTTCCCACGTGTTTTTTGTTTACTTGAATGGCGAATATAAAAAATATTTTGGGAATACCTTTCCCGATTGTAAGACAATATTTAAAATTTGTTTTTCCGTTATTCAGCTGTCGCCCCCAGAAGTTGAGAAACTTGTACGAACTAAGGACTAACAAGGTCTTACCTTTTAACGTCTGATTCCTAACACGGTATCGTCAATCACTTTGTATGAAAAGTACTGAAACAGCAATAAGTCGTTGAAAGTTTTAAAAATTATGAAAAGTTTCGACATTTGATTTTATATCGATATTTCCAAATGTTCATAAGTAAATATGAGAAATGTTCATAAGAAAAGATCATAAAAGTTATCTTTTTTTTGAATATCTGAGTATATTTCGATAAATCTGACTGTTATTTTCTGATTTTTTGCATGTCGGATATCAAAGTTTTAGTGTTGAATGTTTTTGTTTGATTATTTACATACAAATCATTTCTTATTCTAGTATCATACTGGTGGATTTGATTATTAAAAACTACAAATTTGTCAAAATGTGAAGAAAGGAGGTTATGCAACATGTAAATATAGGTTGAATATGTAAGCCTACTTTCAATAGGAAACCATTCTTGAGTATTCACCATTAAAGATATAGGGGCAGCACTCCTGTCACATCGCAAAATAATCCCCATTGCGCGATTCTGTAGTTTCTGTAGTGTTCTCATTTTATTTGAATCAGTTGTGTATAGAAGAGTGGGGTAATATTCCCAAACGTATTATCAAAGTAGCTTTTATACTGAATCTTTTTATCATTAGATTTGTCTTGGTAGGTAGAGATTGGGACCTCCGAGTCAAAATTAATCCATTGTAAATAATTTTTCCACACCAGAACAACCATGTTAGTATCATCAGGATATGATTGAAATTCCATCTTGTTTTTCAGTAGATGGAACTTGTCATAAAAAGTTATGAAAGTCCAATAAATGAACACTATATCACACTTAACTTCAACTTCAGAGTTGGAGAATCCTTCTCAAGATAAGTTACAAATAGTATCATTGAATTACACTCTAGACAGCTCTAATTGAATTTAGTTAGTTCAAAGCTGAACTTTCAACCCTTACTGATATTTCGAATATATTTTGATGATTCTGTAAAAATCCCTACGTGAGTTCACTACTAGCTGTCCATATATCTCAAACTTTTTTGGAATAGCACTAAAACGTCTCCTTCTCATAGTATAACCTCCATGACGCATTGCCGAATTGTGATTCTAGTATCGAAATTTGGATGTGAATTATAAATCATTTTTATAGCTTCCATTTGAACATAATCTCCACGTTAATTATTTCACCGTATATTTATGCTAATAACTCAAGTATTTATAACAATTATACAATGGCAGACCACATGTTTCTTATATTTCCCAACACTAATGATGATTTATCAAGATTTTTATTCAAAGAGCTGATTCTTACCTTTTTAGTTCCACTTGGGACGGACGTCAGAAATTTATCTGGAAACAGAAAATTTCGTTAAATTATGTCTAGCAGATTGAATGATATACAGGGTTCTCCAACATGAACTATTTTGAATATTATGATCTGTGTGTCCGTGTTAAGAATCACACGTTAAAAGGTAAGACCTCGTTAATCCTTAGCTCGCACAAGTTTCAACTTCTGAGGGTTGTCGTTCGTAGGGGTACGACAGCTGGTTAACGAAAAAACAGATTTTCAACAGATTTTCAACAGAATAGAAGTGAAGAACACTGATGGTGTTAGTTCAGGTACGTTAGAAACGTTAGGAAGTACGAGAAAAAAATTATTTCACCAAAAAAATTCATATGGAGTGGTCTGGACGAAGTTATAAAAGTAAATTCCGAAATAAATCTCTACATTCTACCCGTTTACCCTTTTTTGCATATGATATTCGCATTACACAGAGCTATAAACTCCATGACGAATTTATCCAATTTTGATGGCTAGTGAGGAACGTTCAAAATAGGAAATTGGTCTCTGGTCTTGATGCCAACGCAACTGTCTTGTGAAAGACCACCACATTTCATGAGTAACCTCCTTTTTTTTTCATAAATGAAGAATAGTTTATGAGTAAAAGTATTCTGTAGCTGAATATTCAAACAATTTTTTCTAGAATTGATCAAATCTCTGATGCGAAGAACGCTGAATATTCAAACAATCTGTCCCCCATCTAAAATCATCTAATATTCTTAAGCTCAGAATACCTACGTAATTATCCTATTAGAATAATAAAATGAATGGATTATTTGATATCATTATGAATAACGTTGTGTTGCATACTTCTGGTGGTCACTGTAAACTTATAATTGGGTAAAACCGGTCGTGGCGGTAGAGCAGGAAACGATTTTAAAAAATTATGCCATTTTACATTGAGCAAGCTGGTTAATGCGGTTGAATATCATACGTTTCCTCTGAAGTTTAGAGGAAATTGGTAGATAATTTTTATCAGGAAGTATAAATTATTAATTCTTACCACACACTTCCGAATTTAGATACTCCGTGGTATCTTTCTTACATATTAACTATGTAGTTAATTAACAAATTTATTGTTTTTTTTTAACTTGTTTTACAAGGATAACTAGAGTGTTTAATTTCACAGCATATTTCTAATGTTGGCGTTCAGATTTGGTACACATAATTATCATAAAAAATGCTTCATTACCTATTTATACACAGTAGTTCCTGAGAATGTTGTGGAGGACTGAAAGAACTGGGAAAATTATTTGGAAAAACAAGATAGAAGAAAAACGCATTGAATCTATAAAGCACGAGAATTGGACAAGTTGAATCGGAAAAAAAATTGTAGCCTTCTGGAGATTTGAGAGTAGGAAGAGCATCATTCCGCCAAAGAGCGGTATGGATACAGCCTGCGAAGTTCAAGGAGAAATAATCTTGATATTTCGTCTGTTTTTCCTCCACTTTTAGATGATATTCATCTCCCCGGAGCTGAAAACTACATGACAAATATTGTCTTGCTTCTCTGATGGTAGAGAAAAACTGTATGAGGCCTGTATGAGCCTGAGGATCGGGAATAAATAGTTCCACTAAAATCAGCACTGCCCATTTCCCACAACGGAGCATAGGCAACACCAGTGTCTCGTCAATACCGTAAAAGTGCTGTAATGAAACACTCTTAGAGCCGCCTTATGCCGATCTACATAGGTATATCGTCATTGCTATTATATATGACTATATATAATTCCTTCTTATTGAAACTGAGCTGCCATCTATTACTTTGTTCCAGTTGAAACTACTATAGCCGCATAGAAAGCACTAACAACTTCTAATGTTCTGACTTTGAATTCAACGTATCGCTCCCCTGTCGCCTATCAACTAACAAGTGTTTTCCGCAATGTCTCGTTATGCCAAACTCGCAAATTGTTTTTCTCAAAAACAATACCGACTATTTGAAAAATGTCCCGATGGACGGTGAATTAATTCACTTTTGAAACAATTACAAAATCCGATTTCATTTCGAAACATTCACTTGGGACATCGGGAATGGCTTCCACGTGTACGGAGCTCTTAATGGCGTTCCAAGCAAATAATTACGTTCGGAGATACTGTTTTCCATATCTACTGAGTGAAGCAAAAAATGGTCAATGGGAGAAAATTCAGGTAATCATTCGTCAAGATCGAAAGTGATAGGAGTAGAATTTTTTAGGCACTGAAAAGAGTAAATTGAGACCTTCTTTTACTAGAGAGAACTATTATGAAATCCAGTAATGACCTTCAAAGAGAAGGCAGCGGCATGAATGTCCAGAGTATTGAGTTGTTGAAATTATTATAATTCCAGGTGCACTCCTTGCTAGGGGTAATACAATCGTATGAGTTTGAAACATATCCAGAAATATTGCGTGAACAGTTTACATGATATTGTTTATGTCTGCAATACCGAGGACTCGTTTAACTTCTATTTTACTTGTTTCATGAGGTGTATCTGGCTAAGGACTACAGAGTTAATATCTACAAACTCCCGTGCCTTCAATTTTCAGATTTCTTTCCATTCTTTAGCAGACACATAACCCCAAAATAAAAGGTGTGCTGGAGACAGATCATCAGATCCATATTTTGGCTTTGAATTAACGATGAGGATTTCAAAATTTATGCTACTAGTTCTAGCAGAGATCGTTTCAGAATGATTACAGGGTTACCCATTGTCCATTCAGAGGACAACTTAACGATATAGGATTGCATAACGAAAACAGGAGATGAGCAATTTTTGGAAACCAGAAGTATGTCCAGAAGAAAAGGATAAACATTCACCAAAGAGCCTCCACAAACTAAGGACGTATACAAGATTTTTGTAATGTGTATCATGACGATAAATGCGTTGTTGTTTTTTCAGGAGAAATGGTCAAACGGGTCCCATTGAGAAAGTACAATGCGTTAACTTTCCAATAAAAAGCAGGTATCGTTTCTACGAAGTCAATCCAAAGAGCTAATGAAAGACACATGTCCGGATCTAATAAATTCAATAGTTAATACCATATAAAACCTCCCACATGAAAATAGTGATTAGACCTCGTAATTATACCACGCCATCCATGTCATACAAAGAAACTGCCGATGTTCGGTAACTATTTAGTTTTTATGCCAATCTAATGGACTTCATATATTCTATACTCAATTCCAACTAACTTTTACAACTTTTTCTCTTTTCATTGTGACAGTTTCATACTTCTTTGTTAGTTATCAACATTTTGCTGTCTGTCATCTAATGATAAAAAACTGTAAAATAGGACCAATAGCTAGCAAACTACACAAACAATTATTAATGTTTCTTAGGTGTCTTAAGAACTATCAAAGTATATCATGGAAATTTCATTCCCATATATGTTTGGTTCAATATTGAAACCAATGTTTTTCTTTCATTTTTTTACTATTTTTAGCTAGAGAAAAAGTGCCAGTTAGTGAAGAAATCAATTTAATAATAATAATGTAATACATATTCCAGGAATGGAATATCCAATACAAAACTAAAAAAACGCAAATTTTAGAGCTGGAGAGTTCTGTTTATCATCAAATTCTAGTAAAAAAAGAACGTTTTTCCATGACTAATGAAGGCCAATTCATTGGCCTAGTTATCTAAGAAAACACATTATATCTTGTTTTATCTCTTCATCTGTGTTTGACAACAGATTTTGATACTGAAATTGGCTATGACATAATATTTTGTTATCAATTGAAAAAGTCACTTTACCATTTTGAAGCTAGCTATACCTCACGTTTGAAAAAAATCTATTCAAAATCTGTTTTTCCGTTAACCAGCTGTGTTATTTCTGCAGGAGTGACAGTGGTCCAAAAACTCACAGAAGTTTCAGGGTTACCTGATATATTTATATGAAATATTCAAGCAAACCGTTTTCTGTGTTCTATTTGGCAAATTTCTATTTGCAGCAAGTTACAGAACTAACAAATTTTGCATAAATAAACTTTTTCGTGAGTTTTCCCGCAAGAGTTCCGAATGTAATTGTGATTTCGGACCACAAAATGAGTTTGTAAGTTATTCACTTTCATAATAATCGTGCAAGCAAATTCGATAAGTAAAATTGGAACTTCTGGCGTAAATTGAATCTTTTCATGCACTATAACATTTTTTGGTTAAGAGCAAATTATAACACATGTATTGCTTTTTCTTCTTATTTTCTTATTTTTTTGTAGAAATTGCGACGCAATTGATTATGTCTACATTTGACTTGAAAATAAATTGTTTGATTTATTCAAACAAAATATTTTGTAGACAAAATAGTTGACTTCTTTCTGATTTGAGAAAGACAATTCCGATGAATATATATATCAACACGATTCCACACATAATATTTTCGATGAAAAAACACATAATTGAACATTACCCATTCAACTATTGTTTAAGTGAATAAATTCAATGACTAAATTGTCTATTACAAAATTATAATCGATACCCATTAAATTCACTTGCCAAACCAATTACCAGCGACGGGGTAATAAATGAATGGTATTTCTGGATAAAGAAAAAATCTGTTAAACCCATAATTGGTTATTGAATCGAGAGATTTTATCCTGCTCGAGTAAAACCAATACAACTGTTTTTGTTTCTCATTCAGCAATGGGAAGGCGTATACTCAATTAAAACTATAATAATAAATGATCATTTCAGTTAGTCCCCTTCGTTATCGTTTCTTGAACGATTTTTCTTTTTTTCGCCAAAGTTACTATTAGTTATTTTTACTGGAAAACAAATGAATGGTCTGTGTGATGTAATAATTATGTTAAGAGGTTGGAGAGATGAGAATTGGTAATAAGATTAGCTGAAACGGAATCAGAGTTTTGAAAATGTTGGTAGTGAAACGGAACTTTCTGAATATACAGTGTGTTCAAAATAAGAAGAACCAACATGGTTAAATTATAAAAAAATCCTTTTGAGAGCTTATTCAAATTATTTAGACAAAAGTCCTGGTAGATACTGAATTTCGAGGGAAAATTGAAAAAATTATAGA